GTCACATCATCAATAAACACCAATGACCCAGTGCCACTGGGAGCCATGCATGTCCATGCCATCACACTGCCTCCACCATGGTTTACAGATGACGTTGTGTACTTTGGATCATGAGCTGTTCCAAGCCTTCTTACACTTTTTTCTTCCCGTCATTCTGATACAGATTAATCTTAGTTTCCTCCGTCCAAAGAATGCTTTTCCAGAACTGGTCTGGCTTTTTTATATGTTTTTTGTCAAAGTCTAATCTGGCTTTTCTATTCTTCAGGCTCATGAATGGTTTGCACCTCTGTATTTGCTCTCGTGAAGTCTTCTCTTGATTGTAGACTTTGACAATGATACACCCACCTGGGGAGTGTCCTTCACTTGTCTGGATGTTGTGAATAAGTTTTTCTTTACCATAGAGAGGATCCTGCGATCACCACCACTGTTGTCTTCTGTGGACGTCTATGCCTTTTTATGTCGCTGAGCTCACCATTGCGTTCTTCTTTCCTCAGAATGTACCAAACTGTTGATTTGGCCACTCCTAATGTTGCTGCGATCTCTCTGATAGATTTGTTTCGTTTTTGAAGCCTTACAATGGCCTGTTTCACTTGCATGGACAGGCCCTTTGAACGCATGATGTAGGTTCACAGCAATAGATTCCAAATGCAAATACCGCACTTAGAATCAACTCCAGACATTTTACCTGCTTAATTGATGAAGAAATAATGAAGGAGTAGCCCACACCTGGCCATGAAACAGCTTTTGATTCAATTGTCCAATTACTTTTGGTCCCTTGAAAAAGGAGAGATGGCTACTCTTAAGAGCTGTAATTCCTAAACCCTTCCTCCAATTTGGACATACATACCCTCAAATTAAACCTGAGAGCATGTACATTCAGCCCATATCCATTATAGAACTATAGCTTGAATATGTTTTGGTCAATACCTGAAAAAATTGTGCCTGTGTCCAAATATATATGGACTTACCTGTCTGTGTAGGCAGGTGTAGTTCAGCCTCCCTGCAAAGGTGAAGCTTTTAGCAGAGAGAGCGGCAGACAATGGGTTTCTGTAGGTGTGATCAGGGGAGCAGCTGTCTGATTGGATGCTGCTGCTCTGGCTGACCACCACGGCCATCTTGGTTTGACCAGTGCTAATAAATAGCAGTGTCCTCCTTTGGTTGCATTTGCAAAGTGGTCAGGTTAGGGACAGAGCTCCCGCTGATTAGAGACAGGTTGCCTAACATGGGTGATTGTCCAGTGGAGGTGCAACATATTGCTGTGTCTCAGGTGGTCACTTTTCCTCATTCAGGAGCCTCGGTGCCAGTTCACCTCCTCTGTTGGATCCTGTCAGGTATCAGCGCACAAATAAGCGTCCCTTTAGGTCAAAAGCGGTTTTAAACCAGATAGAGAACAGCGATAGTAAATCAGAACCACTTGCAGAATTGAGTGATAATGATTCGTGGGGGAAATTCCTCATCAGACACTGAAAACGATTCTGTGACTGAGCTCAGCGATGTGCGAACTTGGCGCTCTATTTCAAATGTCAGTGTTTTTGGTTTGATTATATTATTGAATTACATTTATTATTATATTATTATTTTTTATGATTATTTATTAAATTATAATTTATGATTTCGTGTTTCAAATTTTAACATACCCGGGATGTTTATTAGACTCTTGTTCGGACAGATTTCAGTGAGTTATTCCTAAAAATTACAGGCCTACAGTAAAAAAAGACATATTTCCATGCAAAAAAATGTACCGCTTTGAGCACAGAAATATAGACATAATCAGACCGCTAGGGGGGTTAAAGAAGATTTTAGGGAAGTGGCGGTAGTGCGGATCGATTTTTTTTTTTCAACCAACCCAACCTATAACCTATACCAGGTGTACAGCTCAGAGCTGTACACATGCCGCCACCACAATGCTGTGCTTCATGGCCATGGCAAAAATTAAACTGTGTGTTGCATTTAGCGGATATTAACCATGCAAGTCTATGGAGAGGGGGGGTGCTGTAACTTCTCTGCAAAACGCATGCATTGCATTTGTAGGTTGGTAGTTTGGCATTTTCAGGGTGTCAGGTGGATTTCAGGGTCAGGTGTCATAGATGTGACAGAGGGGTAGCAAGGGCTACTTCACATGTGAATGTGCTCTTGGTTATTCTTCAATATATCTGGTGCAGGGGCGGACTGACCATTTGGAAACTCGGGCACTGCCCGAGGGCCCGGGGTCAGTAGGGGGCCCCATGAGATGCCCCTGGTACCTTTTTCATAGGCTTTCTTGAGTTTGGGCAAGGACACAGGGGCCCCATGATCCCCTATTGCCCGGGGGCCCCATGAGTTGTCAGTCCGCCCCTGATCTGGTGTAATTTGTTTTTTCAGGTACTTATATAGCACTATCAATTTACACAGCGCTTTACATATATATTGTACATTCACATCAGTCCCTCACCCTCAAGAGGCGTATAAGGTCCCTAACTCACATTCATACATACACATACTAGGGACAATATAGACAGGAGCCAATTACCCTACCAGCATGTCTTTGGAGTGTGGGAGGAAACCAGAGACCCAGAGGAAACCCACACAGGCACAGGGAGAACATACAAACAAACTCCAGGCAGGTGGGGCCAAGGTTGGGATGTGAACCAACCCACATGGAAGAAAAAATATATTTTAAAAATATTCTTCCCAAATATATTGACATATATTTGAAATACTACAATTTTGGCAGTATTCAATATATTTCTAAATATATATATATATATATATATATATATATATATATATATTGAAATTTGTTTTTTATATATTACAAAATATATGAAAAGTATTGTTAAAAATATATATTTTTTAAAATATATTCTTTTGATTTTTTTTTGTAACATATAAAAAAAGTCATTTTAACATATATTTTTACATATATTTGTAAATGCATTCCAAAAATATAGATTAAATGTCATATTAAAGACATACAGTATTTTTAAAAATATTTGTTCATATATTTTGTAATATATAAAATAACGCATTTCAACATACAGTATATATATATATACATATTTATTTTTATTTTTTTTTAAATATATTGAATACGGCCAGAATTGTACTATTTCAAATATACGTCAATATATTTGGGGAGAATACTTTTTAAATATATTTAAAATATATTTTTCTTCCATGTGGGAATGACCCTAGTACTGCCAGGTGGAAGTGCTAACCATTTAGCCACTGTACTGCCCCGTAATTACCTGAAATCCCTCTTTACAGAGTTGACACATTGGGGTTGATTTACTAAAACTGGAGACTGCAAATATTGGTGCAGCTCTGCATGGTAACCAATCAGCTTCCAGATTTTATTGCCCAAGCTTCCCAGAACAAGATGTAGTTAAAAGCTGATTGGCTCCCATGCACAGCTGCACCAGATTCCAAGTGCTCCAGTTTTGAGAACCCCCCCACCCCCCATAGTGGTGTCATGTGGAAATCAGGCTTGCAATAGGCGTGTTTGCTCTATGTGTGGTGTTTTTCCCCAGCAGACCACAGAGGAGGAGGCAGGGCGGTGTCACAGTTTGCAGAGCTGTGACCTTTTAAGAATGTCACCTTCTTATGTTGATGAGCGGTAAAAGCACAGAGCGGGGGCGGTCGGATCAAAGTTGTATTTTCCTTATTATGCAAATCTTTAAATTCCGCTAAATACATTTCTTTCAGCTGTGCATTTGGCTGTCCAGCTGAAGTTTCTCATTAATGTGTAAGCAGCATGCGTTTCATACTTCCACGTCTACAACACGGCTGACAGCATTTAATGGCATCCTTGCCATCCAGTAGAGAGTGTCCTATACATGACGCAGATCTCAGCTGATGTGTATCGGGGGATTTTCTTGTAATAGCACTGTAATCTATAGCACTGCACCCTGTAGACCCACCACTCACCCTATCCCCAGCACTGTACCCTGTAGACCCACCACTCATCACCCTATCCCCAGGACTGTACCCTGTAGACCCACCACTCATCTTATCTCCAGCACTGCACCCTGTAGACCCACCACTCACCCTTTGCCCAGCACTGTACCCTGTAGACCCACCACTCACCCTATCCCCAGCACTGCACCCTGTAGACCCACCACTCACCTTATCTCCAGCACTGTACCCTGTAGACCCACCACTCACCTTATCTCCAGCACTGTACCCTGTAGACCCACCACTCACCCTATCCCCAGCACTGTACCCTGTAGACCCACCACTCACCCTATCCCCAGCACTGTACCCTGTAGACCCACCACTCACCCTTTGCCCAGCACTGTACCCTGTAGACCCACTACTCACATTATCCCCAGTACTCTACAGTGTAGACCTACCACTCATCCTATTTCCAGCACTGTACTCTACAGTGTAGACCTACCACTCACCCTTTCCCCAGCACTGTACCCTGTAGACCCACCATTCACCCTTTCCCCAGCACTGTACCTGTAGACCCACCAGTCGCCCTATCCCCAGCACTGTACCCTGTAGACCCACCACTCACCCTTTCCCCAGCACTGTACCCTGTAGACCCACCACTCACCCTATCCCCGGCACTGTACCCTGTAGACCCACCACTCACCCTTTCCCCAGCACTGTACCCTGTAGACCCATCACTCACCCTATCCCCAGCACTGTACCCTGTAGACCCACCACTCATCTTATCTCCAGCACTGTACCCTGTAGACTCACCACTCGCCCGATCTCCAGCACTGTACCCTGTAGACCCACTGCTCACCCTATGTCCAACACTGTGCCCTGCAGATCCACCTCCTACCCTACTTTATCAGCATTACTATACCCAACAGATGCAACACATGTGTAAGCAGCACGCGTTTCATACTTCCACGTCTATAACACGACTGGCAGCATTTAATGGCATCCTTGCCATCCAGTAGAGAGTGTCCTATACATGATGCAGATCTCAGCTGATGTGTATCGGAGGATTTTCTTGTACAGTTTTGGTAATCTGCTCACTAATGGCCGTGTGTTTTGTATCCCTCCAGACATCCTTTGTTCCCCCTCCTGACGCTGCTGTTTGAGAAGTGTGAGCAGGCCACGCAGGGCTCCGAGTGCATTACCTCCGCCAGCTTTGATGTGGATATCGAGAACTTTGTCCACCAGCAGGAACAGGAGCGCAAACCGTTCTTCAGCGAGGACCCCGAACTCGACAACCTGGTAATCCTCACCACCAGCCTTCTCATATGACGCTACTTCATTTATAATATGTTCGATCACAGGACTCCTTCCCTGAAGGACGTGATTACAGAATCTCTGAACTAGGTTAGCTCAGTTTACATTTCACCCGTCATAGGTCTGGCCAGTTCAGAATGCGCACATTTCTAATGATGCACGCTATTTTTTTTAAAGCACTGTACCCTGTAGACCCACCACTCACCCTACCTCCAGCACTGCACCCTGTAGACCCACCGCTCACCCTATCCCCATCATTGTACCCTGTAGACCAACCACTCATCTTTCCAGCACTGTACCCTGTAGACCCATCACTCACCCCCTCCAGCACTTTCCAGCACTTTACCCTGTAGACCCACCCTCACTTTATCTTCAACACTGTACCCTGTAGACCCACCACTCGCCCTACCTCCAGCACTGTACCCTGTAGACCCACCGCTCACCCTATCCCTGGCATTGTACCCTGTAGACCCACCACTCATCTCATCTCCAGCACTGTACCCTGTAGACCCACCGCTCACCCTATCCCCAGCACTGTACCCTGTCGACCCACCACTCACCTTATCTCTAGCACTGTACCCTGTAGAGCCACCGCTCAGCCTATCTCCAGCATTGTACCCTGTAGACCCACCACTCACTCTTTCCCCAGCACTGTACCCTCTAGACCCACCGCTCACCCTATCTCCAGCACTGAACCCTGTAGACCCACCACTCGCCCTATCCCCAGCACTGTACCCTATAGACCCACCACTCACCCTTTCCCCCAGCACTGTACCCTGTAGACCCACCACTCGCCCTATCTCTAGCACTGTACCCTGTAGACCCACCGCTCACGCTATGTCCAACACTGTGCCCTGCAGACCCACCTCCTACCCTACTGTATCAGCATTAGTATACCCTACAGATGCACCACATTGGTGGTCAGTGGGAATAATGCTTCTTACATTGGTGGTCAGTGAGAAAAATGCTTCTTACATTGGGGGTCAGTGTGAAGAATGCTCCTTACTTTAGAGGTCACTAAGCGAAATGCCCCTTACATTGATGGTCAGTGGGAAGAATGCCCCTTACATTGGTGTTCAGTTAATGCTTCTTACATTGGTGGTCAGTGGAAAAATGCTTCTTACAGTCAGTGTGAAGAATGCTCCTTACTTTAGAGGTTGCGAAATGCCCCTTACATTGATGGTCAGTGGGGCCCCTTAATTGGTGGTCAGTGGGAAGAATGCCCCTTACATTGGTGGTCAGTGGAAGAATGCCCCTTACATTGGTGGTCAGTGGGAAGAATGCTTCTTACATTGGTGGTCAGTGAGAAAAATGCTTCTTACATTGGGGGTCAGTGGGAAGAATGCTCCTTACTTTAGAGGTCACTAAGCGAAATGCCCCTTACATTGATGGTCAGTAGGAAGAATGCCCTTACATTGGTGGTCAGTGGGAAGAATGCCCCTTACATTGGTGGTCAGTGGGAAGAATGCTTCTTACATTGGTGGTCAGTGAGAAAAATGCTTCTTACATTGATGGTCAGTGGGAAGACTGCTCCTTACTTTAGAGGTCACTAAGCAAAATGCCCCTTACATTGATGGTCAGTGGGAAGAATGCCCCTTACATTGGTGGTCAGTGGGAAGAATGCCCCTTACATTGGTGGTAAGTGGGAAGAATGCCCCTTACATTGTTGGTCAGTGGGAAGAATGCCCCTTATATTGGGGTCAGTGGGAAGAATGCCCCTTACATTGGTGGTCAGTGGGAAGAATGCTTCTTACATTGGGGGGTCAGTGAGAAGAATGCTTCTTACATTGGGGGTCAGTGGGAAGAATGCTCCTTACATTAATGGTCAGTGAGAGGAAAGCTCCTTACAAACTTCTAACATGACCATTATTGTCAGTGGTTACTTATCTAAGAAATGAGAGGAGAAGCTCCGCTAGTAATACAGGCTTGCCAAATGGAATTGGTGCTAGAATTATGTAGGTAACCTTATGAGATCGATTCACCACAGTTCAAAGAACCCCTGTTAACCTCTGGAGGAACCTTAGTCAAGAAAGCTGCTCTACAGAGACTTCAGCCAAGGACCTGCTTCCTGCTGCCGCGACCTCTCAGAAGTAGTTCCAGGTCCTCTGTATCCATGCTACGCATGGGTGTCCATCTGCTTGACATATGTATATTCAGGTTTGTCAAGTATTCAGATATACCATTACAAAATGTTTTCGAACATTCAACATATAACATACAAGACAGCCATTTAATCACTTGACCTGTGAGGACTATATCTATAGCAAGACATTAAAAAAAATGGACTCATCCCTGATGAAGACAAGCCCTAAATATTAGAAAATCTTAAAAAAATTGAAGAAAAATAGAAAAAAGATAGGGTGAATTTAGGTAAAAGATAACAGAAAACCAGCAGGAATGAACAGTTCTCAGGGTTGGTTTTTCTTGACTTGCCAAAATGATATCCAATATAGGCTGTCCATATTTTATGGGATAAATGAAAATGTCTGATATGTGTTACATTGAACAGTATCTGTTCAGCATTTTTTTTCAGATAAAATAAAGTGTATGTAAACCATAGACGATGAACTTCTCTTACTTACTCCCCTTTTCTGGTTAAATATGCAATTGGATGCGTTATTTTACATCAGTTCAGTAAGGCCCCTTTCACACGGGCCGTTTTTTTCATCAGTTTTGATATTCTCGACCCTTTACAGTCTGGCTTCCACCCCCTACACTCCACTGAAACTGCCCTACTCAAACTCACCAATGACCTACTAACTGCCATAACCAATGGCCACTATACTATACTCCTACTACTTGACCTCTCTGTGGCTTTTGACACGGTTGACCACCCCCTCCTCCTCAAAAAACGGCACTCTCTTGGCCCCAGAGACTCCGCTCTCTCCTGGTTCTCCTATCTATCACAGCGCTCCTTCAGTGTTACCTACAACGCTGCCACCTCCCCCTCACTCCCCCTCTCTCTAGGGGTCCCTCAAGGTTCTGTCCTCGGACCCCTTCTCTTCTCCATCTACACCTCCTCCCTTGGCCAACTGATAAACTCCCACAGCATCAACTACCATCTCTATGCCGACGACACACAAATCTATCTCTCTACCCCTCACCTCACCCCCTCAGTCTCCAATCGCATCACCAGACTACTAAGTGACATATCGGCATGTATGTCACTCCACTTCCTCAAACTCAACCTTTCCAAAACTGAGCTTCTAGTATTCCCCCCAGCCCGTGCCCCCTCCACTGATTTCTCCATCAAGATCAACAACACTACTATCAGCCCCACCCCTCACGCCAGGGTACTAGGTGTCCTAGACTCCAATCTGTCCTTTCAGCCCCAGGTCCAATCGCTGACAAACTCATGTAGACTTCACCTCGGCAACATCTCCAAGATACGCCCGTTCCTAACCCTCGGAAACCACTAAGCAACTCATCCACTCCCTTATCATATCACGCCTTGACTACTGTAACTCCCTCCTCACTGGCCTACCTCACCGCAGGCTATCCCCACTACAGTCCATCATGAATGCTGCTGCCAGACTCATTCACCTTACTAACCGCTCTGTATCTGCCACCCCTCTCTGCCAATCCCTCCACTGGCCTCCACTCAGTGTCCTCCATCCCTCTCTGTCAATCCCTCCACTGGCCTCCACTCAGTGTCCTCCACCCCCTCTGCCAAATCCACTGGCCTCCACTCAGGTCCTCCACCCCTCTCTGCCCAATCCCTCACTGGCCTCCTCAGTGTCCTCCACCGCTCTCTGCCAATCCCTCCACTGGCTTCCAATTGCCCAACGGATAAAATTCAAAACACTAACAATGACGTATAAAGCTGTTCATAACTCTGCCCCAAATTACATCACCGATCTTGTCTCTAAATAATACCCAAACCGTACTCTCCGCTCCTCACAAGACCTCCTACTCTCTAGCTCCCTTGTCTCCTCCTCCCATGCTCGTCTCCAGTATTTCTCAAGGGCTTCACCCATCCTCTGGAACTCCCTACCCCAAGCTATCAGACTATCGTCTACTCACTTTTAGGCGCACTCTGAAAACTCATCTCTTCAGGGAAGCCTACCCCGACCCCAGCTAATACTGGAATCCCCTACTCCATCCCCCACAGCTAATTACCTCTTGTACCACTATCCCCTCCCTCCTAGATTGTAAGCTCCAAGGATCAGGGCCCTCTAATCCCTCTTGCATTGAACTGTATTGTTATTGTACTGTCTCCCTCCATAATATAAAGTGCTGAGCAAACCGTTGGCGCTATATAAGTCCTGTATAATAATAATAATAATAATAATAATATTCGTAGATCTGAAATTCTAAATTCCAACGAATTTAAACGAATCAGAAATAATTGAACAAAATTTTATCCGAAATTTGACTCGAATTGGAATTGAATTTGAAAACGAGATTGAAAACAAATTCGAAATAGAAACCTATTGCTGACTATTGCTGTTTTTCTTCAAGGACTACGTGTATTAGTGTTAAAATATAGCAATCTTCCGAAATTCAAATTTAGAAAAGAATAGTATAGAATAAAACAAAATAGAATAGACTATAAAAGAATGGAATAGAAAATAAGGGACTAGAATAGAAAAAAATAGAATAGATTTGAATAGGATAGATTATAATAAAATATAGCAGTCTTCCAAAATTTAATTTAAAAAAGAATAGAAAATAAAAGAATAGAAAAGAATAGAACTGAAAATAAAAGAATAGAAAAAATAATAGAATAGGAAATGAAAAGTATAGAATTCAAAATAAAAGAATAAAAATAGAAAAAAAATAGAATAGAACAGAATAAAATAGAAGATAACCGTCTTCAGAAATTCGAATAGAATAGAACCAGCTAATCTTCATAATGAATTTGAATCGACTCAATATTTTTGATTCAAATTCAATTGGAAAAATTTGAATCCGGACAAAAAATAATAAACGAAACTAAACAAATTTTGTTACAAATGCAACAAAACAAAATTAGTAACTTAACG